TGATGGCACACGGGTGATTTGGTGATGGGAAGCCCACGGGGATTACAACTGAGACGGAAAAAGGCACAAAATGATGTAAAAATAAACTATTATATTATTTAAAAAATTAACCGTTAAAAAAGCAAATAATTCACCAGCTTCAGCGATACCACCTGAGCTCTCCTTTCAGATTTTGACACAAATATATTTGGGGGGCTTCTATTGGTCACGTCATGCATGCGCAGTCAGTGCTGGCCTGCGTTTTGGGGGCGGGGATTATTTTTGTGGCTAAAAGAGACACTATCTCTGCCCACATGGGGCTTGTGATCTTGTGCAAGGAGACCCATAAATGGGCAAGAGAACATGGGTGCTGATGGGCGCAGGGTGAGTATGAGTTCGGGGCTGGTGTGCTGCTGAGGTTCACACTCAGAGGCGTCTGGGCAGAGACCCGGATGGACAGGACGGGGCCTGCCTGAGAATATGAGGACAGTGAGTGGCAAGTGCCAAGGCTTGAGGACAAGAATGAGACTGGCATGTTCGCCGCCAGGGGGACAGTTGGCCTGCTGGAGGGGAGCAATGGAGAAGGGGCGGGCTAAGCGATGGGTCAGGGTAAGGCGCCTCGTACAACAGGAAGTCGCAGAAAGGTTGTGAGCCAGCTGGGCATGACCTGATTTACTTTTGAAATTAGTGGCACAGCCCCTTCCCCCACCACCCCAGGTTCCTGTGGACAGAGAAGGGTGAACGCTGTGAGGAGGCAGTGGGAGCGCACAGTGACGGCTGCCCGGAGTGCAGAGGGGAAAGCAGAGGGCTTGATGGTGGGAGGTCAAGGAAAGACGGGGGTCAGGAAAGGCCCCTGAATTCCTCTAGAATATCTGCCTGAGATGGAATTTGGTACTGGCGTTACAGGGCACCCCAGTGTGAACTAGGCTGCCTGGCTGTGGGTCCTCACCCAGGTGCTTAAAATCTTGTTGTACTGCAGGCACACACAAAAGGGTCAATAATGGGTTTATATACAAAAAGGGAAAGAAAAAGGAACAACCCAGGGAAAGAGAGAGAGATACAAGGTAACTAGAGTCTCTAACCAGCAGGGCTGACTTGGAGCTCTAGTAACAAGCTAGCTGATAGCCCCCAGTCACGCACTCTGGAGATCCCTTGCCCCAATGAGAGGCCTGGTGGAAAAATGGCTCCCTATTTATCCTCCAAAGTCCCAGAATGCCTGCTTAGCTCCACCCATGGGTCCTCGCAGTTCTCTCCTTGGTACTGCTGGGAGTTGTAGTTTCCAACCACTGGAGTAGGGGGTAGAGTCCACAAAACTCTGCAGAGTTCCTTTAGGAGATTCTTTCCCTTAACCCTGGGAGCCGGGTCACAGGTTAAATTGGGAGGTCGGCCAAAGCCAGCTAGCAGCTGACTGACAGTTGAGGCAGTCAGGATGGCTTGGGGTCTGAATATGGATATTTGGAATGATGGAAGGTACAAAAACCCACCCACTGCAAGAGATTCCCCTAGGGAGAGGGGCTGGCTAGGGAAGAGGGCCGGGGCGGAGCAGCCCTGTCCCACTAGCATCTGGTGAGGTCAAGCTCACTCAGTGCCAAGAGCTGCTGCCTCGTTTGCGTGGCTTCTCAGTGGTACCCACGGCACTTCCTTATGTCTTCCCCTTCCACAGACATGTTCATAGGGGATGCTGGGCGCAGCCTACCCAGAGTCCATCCCTTCAGACTGTTCTGTGTCTGCTTCACTGTCTTTTGCTTTTAACAGTTCCTGCATCTTTTCTTTGAAGAATGCTCCCCAAGGACTGGAGTCTCCTTAGCTCCCAGACAGGAGTGCCAGGGGCCTTTGACCTCTCTGCGGCCCCTTAACCAAAGAGGAGCCAGAGCTGCTCTCTTCATCAGGTTTAGCTGTCCTGCCTGGGGTCACCTTGGAACCTGATGGAAACTGCCCTCTGGAGAGTTCTGGCCTTAGCTGCCATGGAGTGCGCCCGGAATAAACTGTCTGCCCCTGGGCAGCTTGCTTTAAGAACTGCCCTGTGTTGCCCCGCACCACACCCCCCACCTCCATTTTGGGGTATAAACACCAGTGGAGTATAATCCTTTTTGTTAATTTAAAATGGGGCTAGATGAAGTATTTTAAAGCACTCCTAACTTTCCACAGTTGTTTTTTTTTTTCCTGAATAGTTTCCATTTTAGCAACCATCAAGTGGAAAGGATTTTTATTTTTTATCCTAAAGGCAATTGTCTGTTTCTACTGGTTCTGGTGAATTTGTTTACTGTTTAATGAAGTGGAACATTTCCAGAGAGTTATCTATTCTCACTCTTCCAGCTCACAGAGTAGATGCTAATCTTAAACTGATAAAACTATTAGATGATTATTTTCTGTTCACACACTGAGTCAAAATGATGGAGATTAAACCAGGGAATAAGATTGGGTGTTTAACATGGATTGATTATGGTGGATGTGATCTTTTAGCCGAAGAAACCTGCCAGCTTTTCCACACATTTTCAAGTGCTAATCACTGTGCTTTCAATAACACTTCTAAAGCAAGTTTGTAGCTATAGTGTGAGCAGGAATTTGAAGCCCACAGGCCAGTATGTCTGTCTGGAATTTTCCCTCTTCCTTGAGAGAAGAAGTAAAATTAGATTTCCATTTATTTCAGGACTTTGGGGGTACTTTTATCTCTCCATACAAAAAGTTGGGATCTTTTGGCTTTGAAAAAATAATATACAGATTGTCTTCCTTCCACCCTTTCCTCCCTTTCCGGAGAAAGCAAAAGCTGAATCAAATCTCTATCTGAATATCTCACAAAATAAGTGTTTAAGGTTCCCAAGTGGGGTTTTCTTTGCTTGTATAGAACTGCATACCCATGATAGCCTCTCTTACCTTTTGCAATCTTCACAGTGTGATTGGGCTTAGCAAATGCTCAGTCAATGCTTGTGGAGTGAATGACTACGTGGCGTTATGTTCTAGGAATAGTCCTAAAATGTTCATATTGCACTTTTCTTGGTGTGCATCTGTGATGAGAATCTTGGTCCCCAATTTTTGACTTCAGCTCCTCTGGAAAATACACGACAACTGTATTGGGACACACAGGGTTATTACATTGGGAATGCTGCAACAGGCACTTTTTGCTGCTTTGTGCCGGGAATGCTATGGTAAGGGACACAACAGTTGTGGATCAAGTTTGCAGAAGTTCTTGTGCCATTTATTGCAAACATATAGGCAAGTCAAAGCTGATCGTGTGATAATGGTATGAAGAATACCGACATGGGGTAAGGGGTTTGAAGGAACAGAGAAGGGGACATCGTAACCATAAATCAAGAGACATTTGCCAGTCAGCAAAGTATTTGGGGGTTATCACAGGCAGTCATCCTGAGACCACCATGCAGACAGTTACATAATCAGGTGGTGGCCTTGGTGCCCCTGGGCCTGCCTCCTGAGAGGGCTCTTGTCTCTGCTGTTGATTGCAGGAACCCACAGGAAAAACCTTTTAAAAACCCTTGGATAAACCATCTTTGTACATTTCACAAAATCAATTTTGCTAGATTTTGTTGCAGTGAAACCACATGGGCGCATTCCTTTTGCCTTGAAATACTTCTGAAACACTTGGATTTTGACCACCGATTTCACAATCCAATGAGGCATGCAAGTATGAGGCAGAGTTGCATGCTTTTTCATGCCTGAAAACTCTGGAGTCACGCTGGGGCATTGAAGCACAGTTGAAAAATTTTACTTTCCGTCAAATTCAATAGTGTATTTAATTTGGTATTTGCTACATGATTGAAGATGGGATACCTTCACCTTTGTTTTTGTGTCTTTTCTGGAAACTAAATGAGAAGTTAAGGTGAAAGAGGCAAACAGATGCATTTTTTCTTTGTCCATTGGTGAGCTCACCCTTAACTTTTGAGTGGGAGTGGGAAGAGTATTAAAGTGTACCTTAGGAAGAGGAACCACAAAGCTTCATTCAGAAGATTGCACAGACTATTGGGATGTATTCTCAGACAGGCAGACTCCCTGTTCCTATTGTTTAAAAACAACAACAGCAACAATACCCAGATTCAACCTGAGTACATTTTAAAGATCTTATTGACTTTATCCAGTGAGTCACGAATCGGACAGTTCCCAATCTAGCAGATAGAAAGGAGCTTCGAGTGTTGTACAAAAAGAAGCATGTTTTGAATAAGTCTAGGAGGCCAGGGAGGGAGAAGTCAGTCACACTAGTCAGAGGGCAGGTTGCTCCTTCCCTAATGGGGGAGGCAGGGCTCATCAGGTACATACCTAACTCTTGCTGACTGAATAATTCCTGACTGGCTGGTTTAAGTGTCTAGAGGAGCTAAAACTACAGTTCAGTCTGGTCCCAGGTGACATTGGGTTTGGCTTAAGAGATTCCCATTTTGGGCCTGTAGTGTTTCTAAGAGAATGGCTAGGTGACTTCAGGGGCCGTGGAAACCTGACCTTCATCTTGTAGAATTTAGGAGTGGATCTGACTCACCTGGGGATTTAGGTGACAGTTCAAAAGCTTTAGAGAAATACTGGAAGTTCCACAGCATTTTGGGTGTTGTCTGTGACCAGTTATGCTTGTTTAAAAATGAGTGGGAATTTCTTTGGTTCTCTTATAGGCATGATGGAGGAAGAACCCCATGAAGTAAAAGCATATAGATAAAGACGCTTGTTGAGAAAGCATCAGTTGGGCTTCAGTTCTTGGCATATGGATATAAATGGGGTACTTTTCCTGACGAGCGGAATAATGTTTGCTGAGGCAGAGAATGACTCAGAATGTCTGAATTCAATGATGACTCATGGGCCACTGTCATTATAAATTATGTCCTAAACAGAAATTGTCCTAAATGTATCCAAAGACCTTTGAATGATAATTAATGGTCTTTGTATTCACATTTTAACTATTGCATGAGGAGTTAAATGCTAGTGTTTATGTGTTTAAATAGCTATTACAAGTGAATTTTGCCTGTATTAATTGAGAAGGTTTTGGAGCACTTGACTCAACTGAAGTTCTTTTCCTTCTTTGAAAGGAATGCCATGTTAATTCGGGGGCATTGATGTTTTACAATGCCTGATCAAGACAAAAAGGTGAAGACCACAGAAAAATCAACTGATAAGAAACAGCAAGGAATCACTACCAGGTAACCTAGATACTGTGTCTTTGCTAATTATTAACTCAGGCAGTAGCTAGTCACCAGACGTAGTGGCTTTTTGGGAAATAGAGTAGGGCCTTGACAGCCGCTCCTCTGGGTTATGATGTTGACCAAAATGCTTGATCATTTCTAGAGCTTCCACAGGGAATTTCTGTGGGCATGAGCCTTAGTCTACACAGGCGGCCTTCTGGTGGCGATGACATCAGAAGTAACAGGACCTCATGCACCTGGATCTTCTGTTGACTGACATTGTATTGTTCTTTCTCCTAGGGACTATTCAGATCTTAAAAGACTTCGCTGCCTTTTGAACGTTCAGTCAAGCAAACAGCAGGTAGTGTTTTCAAAGAATGCGTGTGTCCCAATAAAAGGGAAACCTCCTATTTCCAAGGGGATCCAGTTCACATCAGGTCCTTGTCACTGATTTTTCAGTTTTGTCTTTCTTTATCCGGCAGTTTCTCTCATACCTGGCTGCAGCTTCTGCCAAGTTTGCAGACTTTCTCTTCTCAGGCCAGTTTAACCCTTCTTATCTCCAAGTGGCCTGATTGCCAAGACTCTTTGGTCTAGAACGGCATGTTCTTCCGCTGAATGCCTGATGTTCACCTCTTCAGAACCTGCAGGAAATCAGTTTTTCCAAAACACTGTTTTCTACATTTCTGCTCTCCCGCCCCACCCCCATCCTAGTCACTCACTGCAGTACTGCTGTTGGGATAGGCTGCCAATGGTATCTCACCAGAAAGGGGGAAAGGTGTGAGTTTGGGTATTTTTACAATAGCATTTTCATATGCATGTTTTTATGAGCAAAAGGATGCTACCTCTCTTTGAATTCTGTAGCTTTTCTTTTTGGTTTTACTTCTGTAAGGCTTTGGAGAGTCATGAGATTAGAGGCCACCCGTGGAAGTTTGGGGTGCAACACAACAAAGTTAATAGCATTAACTACAACAACAATAATAATGCCAGACAGTTATTTAGCACTGACAGCTTGGTAAGTGGCAGGGAGGGGGCCTGAGTCCAGGTGGCCTGGCCCACTGTCGCCTGTGCTCAGTGTCTAGGATGTGCCTTCAGAGCTGCTCTCCTGGTGGCAAGTCCTGATGGCTTTGGTTGTGTCACCTCCTTTGACCAGAGCACCATGGCATCTTTATCTTGAGCTTGCCCTCCTAACGATCTGATGGTATCTACAGGCCAAATGACAATTGTTCTTATTTCAGGACAGCTTTTGATGTGCCTGGCATTTTTCCTGCATTAGCTTGCTTAATAACCACAACTCCCACCTTTACAGACAGGAAACCAAAGGACAGGGGACTAAGGGACTTTCCCAGGGTCATATATTTGTATTGGAATGTAGACTTGAATTCAGGTGCTCTCACTTTGTGGCGTGCCTCTAACCACTGAGCTGAAAGTACAGTTAAGAAATAGTTATATTGGCCCTCCCTGGTGGCACAACGGGTTAAAGCACAGCACAAGGAAGCTTAAGCCACTTCCGCATGAGTTAGATCCCCGCCTGCCCCGGAGGTGACACATGGCACGGCAGACCTCTCCTGGCCCGCCCGCTGCTCCCCTCAGCAGTGTACTTCGTGGATCTGCCTGTTCTGCTCCCCACTCTGTCTCTGGTGAAGCCTTTCGTCGCCCCTGAGCCTCTGGCCTGTACCTCAGTTCTGTATGCACAAATAAATAAATCTTTAAAAAAAAAAAAGAAAAGGAAAAAAAGAAATAGTTATATGAGCCTTGATTTGGCATCAGCGTGGCCTTCAAGTATCCTTTCTCCTGCCCATCCTTTCTGCTCTGCTACTGATGTTACAACAATCTCTCCTCCTCCCTAAATTTTTTTCTCCTCAGTTAACTGTGTCAGGAGTCACTCTGACATTGTCCATCTCTTTATGGCAAATGACAGTCGTCCAGACTCTGCTCACAAGTCTTCACGAATGAATGCCCTGAGTCAAGTCCATTCTTTCTTAGTAAAGGTGAATCGACATACAGTTTTGCTTGTGGCTCCCATCATTGTACACTACAGATGTCATCACAGTGTGAGAGAATTCTGCTTTTTGCCTTGATGAGGCCCTTCTTTCAAATTTCTTTCCTATGAAATCTACCTGTTCCAAGACCCAGATGTAATAATACCTTCTCCACAGAAATGCTCTCCTTACTCTTCTATGGCAGAGGTGATCTCTTTATCCGGATCCCCATGCACCTTCGCTCATTGCTGGGGCATTATTTTCTTCCTTGCTTTGGGAACACTTGTCTACATATCTAATTTCCTGCCACCATTGCCAGCAATGTTGACTTTTGACTTCAGTTCACTGTATCTTCCATTTAGTGAGACTTTGCACTTACAATTGTGGCTAAAACTTGGACCATCTTATGATGTGGATTCTCCCTGCCGTCCCCTCCCCAAATCAGGGGGAAAGAGATACCACAGGTAGTTTTTTGCTTCTAATTTCCCAAATCTGAAGTTCATGTTCACTAGATTTATATATCCCCTTTCAACTCTGCTTCCTCGTTAACATCTGGAAGGATTAATTCAAATAAATTTAATAGTTTTCCTTCTTAAACTAATTTTAGAATTTGCAATTTGCTGTCTGACAAGCTCACATGGAATAACTTCTTGCAAAATATTTCACACATACACAAATGTGTGGTTGTAATACAATGTGTCATTACCATACAGAAAGTAGGTGGTTTAAAAAAAATAAAAATATCTGTCCTCAATTATATAAAGGTCCTGAGGCTCCTGGAATTTATCCTTAATTTTGCTTGTAAAACTTAAATACATTTATAATTTTAGAAAAATAAATGTTATATCAGACATCCTGATTTCCTTTCTGAACAGTAATGTATAGACTTTTGGAGGAGAAGAAAGTATTGGAGAACATAAATCAAGAATTTATTTATTCCTTGTTTGTTTCAGAAAGAATGGAAGGAGGCTTATAAAGATACCTAAATTGTGACAGGTCATCATAAATTAAAACTAGGGCCAAAGAAGAAGGAAAAACTTGATTCAGGAACCATAAGGAATCGAGTCAGGCAAAATTACCCATTAGACTGTGCAAAAGGACCATACATTTGACCCTGAGATTTCTAGCAGTCAGTTTGAAAAGGGATTCCTGGGACTAAGGCTCCCTTACCTGAATTTCTGTTCTAACAAGACCTGGCCTGTTATTTGTAAATGGGCCAAGGTGGCTAATTACCTGCTTGCAGAGGAAATCTACACTGTGGACTTAGGCAAAGAAATGCAAAGAACAGAACGCCCTTCACCTAAATCTGATGAGTCAAGCCACTTCCCCCATTGTTTGTGTGTTCTGGGCTTCACTTTGCCTCTGTGTCTGGACAGCTCTGATTGTCTCTGCCAACCTCGCTGCACCTCGTTACCATGCTTGTTCCCTAGGAGAGTCCTGCTGTTTGTCAGATCTGGGGACACAGACCCTGGGGTAGAGAGCTCCCCTTCACTGTAAGTTGGGTTAGAGTAATCCTTACCTTGCAGAACCAAATAATTCAAGAAAAAGAATTGGCCCAGGATTGTTGAAACAAAGTCAAATGACAGAAGTTGTAGACCATAGGGAACTGGGTATAAACCACAGATTAGCTTGAAATAAAAGAGGTTTTAATAGCAGGGAAAAGAAGAGAGCAGGTTTTTTTTTTTTTTTTGGTGTTCAGTGAGAGCAGGGAGAGGAAAGAAACTTGTGGTGCATGACAGGGCAGACCAGGAGTCCTGGGTGAGTGGAACAAGCAATAGCTTATGGAGTTGGTAGGTCAGAGGGCACTTTTTTCTTGAGCTGCAAGAAAGAAAGTGTTCCTGAAAAATGGGCTGATTTCCATCAATAAGATTGTTGGGAGTCAATCCTAGTTGAAAGAGTAAGTAGAGACCATTTTGCTTTACCGCTTGCTGTTGTCTTTCCTTCAGCTCTCTCTAAATTTACCTCTCTGGCAGATGTGTCCGCCCATAGGGACAGGACTGGATGGATGCATCGGGAGGTGGTTTACTAGAGGACTCAGTTTAGTGAAGACACTGAGGACCAAGTGAGCTTTCGTTCAGTAGCTTCACATTTGCTCGGCTTTGATGTGTCGGGCTCTGTGAGAGATGCTGAGAACACAGAGGGGGACAGATGTGCTGGGCTCATGGTCACCAGTTCCCAGAGGGAAAGACCGTGTGTGTACTGGACTTTGGGCTCAGTGCTGCAGAGCTCTTCCTGGAAGGCTGGGGAAGGTAGTTTTCACATTGGAGGTCTTTCAACCTTTCACCAGTGGGCAAAGACCTATATGGCTTTGCATTGTGCTATAGTGTGAGGCCTGACATTTTAGATTTGGGATTGCTTAGAACATTCTGTCAGATGTAGAGGACCTAGCTGAACGAATGGCTTCATATGACAGAAATGAGTAAGGGGGTCGCTTCCGGCTCTGGCTCTGCATATCCGGGTGTGAGTGCTTGTCACACATCTCTTGGCTGGACCCACTATTATATGACAGGAGATGACAAAAGCTAGACAGAGGGTCTGAGGAGCTAGCTGGGATGCAAAAAGACTGTGGGCTTTGAACTGGGTTCTGAATTCAAGCCTGCTTTTGTCTGAAGCAACTGGGTTGCATCAAGACTTCTACTAAAGTCCCTCCTCTTTGCAACTGTAGATGTCAAGTCCAGTTCACCTGCCCAGTCTACATGCTCTGCTGGCAGAGAGCATGATGCACCCGCGGCTCTCCACCGGCCAGCGCAAGGGCGGTCTCTGTGCTGCTACCTGTCTTGTGAGCAGGCTTCTGGGAGCTGGGCCTGGAAAGCCCATGTCCCATGCTGTGTATCATGACCTGTGCTGTGTCACGTAGGAAAATTGCTCACTGTCATGCTTTTGTTTCCAACAGAATTTGAGTTATCCATTCACATCCAGAAATATCTACTTTGTAAGGATAGGTCTTACTTATTTGGCAAGTGTATCTACGCAGTGGGATTCATTATGAAGATCAAATGAGTATCTGTGTGTACTTAGAACTATGCCTAACACTTAAGTGCTTTATAAGTACTATGTCATTTAATTTTGGTAACATCTTGAAGATACATACTATTATTTCCATTTTATTGACATGGAAACGGATATGCTGGGAGTTTGAATAACTTTTCCAAGTTCATGGAGCTAATCCCTCATAGGTAGATTTCTTTATTGTATTTAAAAGGGCAGGTCCACTACAAAAAGAAAAGGCAGTCAGGAACATCAGACATGCTGCCTTTGATAAGGAAATGGGCCTTCAGGAACATGTCTAGCAGTTACTTGGGTAGGATTAGAAAAGTGCAGCCTTTTGTAGCTTATTTGATAAAATTAACGTATGGAATGTGATTATTTACTGAACAATGGGCCTTTTGTTTACTATGTTCTCCAGCCTCATCCATAGTCATTTAGTTACTGGTAAAAGAGCCAAGCCCCCATTTGTACTTTGTAAAGAATAGCATATTTTTTCCCATGCTACTTAGCTTTACTGTGTGATGAGAGACAAAACTCAGGCTATCCCGATGACAGGTAAATATTGATAAGTGAAACTCTTTGAAAGTTGATCACTTGGCAATGTATTACATAAAGAGCTAGCCGTTAAGATTATAAATGGGATGTATTGAAGTTGTTATGGTTAATATAAACACATTTTTCCTTTTCTTATGGTAAAATCAACAATGTATTTTTTTAAA